ATGACGGGATTCTCGTAGAGTATCGCGTACTTCGAAAATTCCATGTCTCCGGGCTTCCGAGCTCTCCGTATAGAAAATTAAATTTCTAATTATTGAGGTTTTTTATATCTTTCAATAGCTCCCTTAAGGTGAGTTTCCCTTCGAACGAGGCCTATTGTCACTGCGGGTTATGGCTTCGAGTACGCAACCCTCGTCGTGCCACGAGGCAACGTTTTACGTCCTCCCGTTTACGTCCACTTTTTTATCCTCGATCATATCCGTTCGTGCTTTCTCGACTAAACTGTCCGTACCTTAATAAGTTTCTGGAAAATACCAGCCGGCAGTAATTCCTCGGTGCTTCGAAGCCCTCGTCGTTCGAGAGGGAGTTGGAAAAAGAACGGGCACGATTTACGGGCGCATATTTACAAACAAATTTCCCAGCTAATATTCCATTTCCTACCCTCTAGAGAGGGATGGAACGAGAACGAGAGCGTATAGGCCTGGACCGCATACACGGTGCTCTCATCTCGGCCGTCGAAAACGCTTATAACGACCAAACCACCGGAACTAGACGAAGACCTAAACGTCGAGGCCGTAAACCGTGTATGGCCTCTTAAAGTGTCTCCAAAAAATCCAAACGATCTCCATTTCCATCCCTCTCGAGGCTCTTTCGCAACGATCCGCAATTCGTATCTCCACGTGGTTGCTAAAGGTAGCCACCCCCACAACGTCAAATCCAATCAATCTTTAGTCTCCCTTAAATCCAGCCCTTCCATGGAAACGTCATCCGTACAACCTTAACTAAATCTTTTACTTTTTTCTTATCGAGGTTGAGTATATCATTTCGCTATTTAAGAAATTAATATACGGTATTTGAGGGTGGTGTCCTGAGTCATCTGCCGCTATTCTCGGCATGGGTTCAAGGAAATCGGGAATTTCTTCGTCCTTCCAGGGATTATTCCGCGATGCGGAGTGCGCATTAGCAGGGAAGGAAGGAGAAACGGACGCCGATAAGTTTCCGCCTTGGCCCCGGACTCGAACGACGCGTAACGAAAGGTAACGACACGAGAGCGGGTCGTTACTTCGATTACGGCATTACGGAACGCTCGGTGCGGGTCGATCGATCGACCGTAGAGGAGCGCTCCGCAAAAACGACATCCACCCCCGCGTTTATTCGCGCCTCCGCTCGAGCCGTGTCGCCGGAAGTGGCGCGCTAACGTGGGAACCCGCGGAGGTTTACAGGTGGGTGCGACGTAACTCTCGAGAACGATAATAACCGGGGTTGTAGAGTTCCCGGAAGTAACCTAGGACCGAGTCTTCGCGTCCCCGACCGGTCAGGTCGGAACGACCGTCCAGCGAAAGAGGAGACCAGAGTCACCCTGTGCGTTTTTCGGCCGACCGGAATGCCGACAACCCTGTATTCAAATGGAACCTGTCACTCTGTGCGTTTTCCCCGCGTCCACCGCACCCTAATGGACGGAACCGGACGATCGAGGGAACCAGGAATCCGATTCCCGAGTTCACAGGAATTTTTCTCGCATATAGATTGGCCGGAAAAATTATGCATCGTTGCGGAGTCGCATCGGTCAATATTTGAAAGATGGATACGACAGTATCAATTTCGCAGGCGAAAATTGATATTATGAACTCTCGTGATCGGTAATAATCGACCTTGTTGTACCCTGAAAAAAAAAATCGACTCAGAGATATGCACTGGCGCGACAGAGTCCAAAGAAACGGCAGATTTGGGGAACGAAATTCGCTTAAAAATCAATATCAATTTTTCGTCGTGACGAAATAATTGCTTCTTGCAATTGTATATGATTCAGGCAGCAATATGTATTTCTTTCAGTCAACTAATCTTTTTTTTTTCTCAGCGTAGGGATCCCTGGGTTAAGTAAAATACCTCCAATCACGGTAAAATTTTAATTTTAATTCATACTTTTGCCTGAATTATAGTACAAAAAAAGACGTACTTTTTTTAACACTTGCAAAAACGCCGCTATTTTGTTAATTTATGATATAAATTAATAACTGAGATACGGGCGATAGCGACGGTCTTACAGATTAAGGATCCTCTTGAATGTTTTGTTTCAGAATCACCAGGAGGGCTTCAATCACCTTTTCACAAACAATTTTTTGTTACTACCCTACGTTTGTAACAATAAATAAATAAATATATATTTTTTACTAGGAAGAAAAATTGTCCTGCATTTTGTTACATTAGACCTTTCATGGAGGAGAAAAAAGTTTGCGCCATTATATGCAGTACTTTTTAAGAAAGAAATTGTGAAAAATGTGTAATTTTTCACAGTAGTATAGTCCCTCAAGTAAGGACCGAGTTTTCGCGCGTTTGACGCGTAGAAAGGAACACCCGTGGTCCACCGTGGATCTCGGCTCTAGCTCGAAGAGGCATCCGAGATCTCGTAATTCCTCGTGGATAACAGCTCGCGATACGGCGTGCCGACGCGGTTGCAAAGCCACAGGGAAATAACGCGTCGCCCGTCGAACTCCCATGGCAACCGGAGTACCCTCGCAATGATCCGCCCCGCTCGGCGAACAAATTAGGGGAAACGCCGGGAAGCACGAGAGTGCTCGAGGTTGTCTGCAATTTTTCGAATAACTCTCTTACGAGGTTCCTCGGCGCCGCACTCGGAGCCGAAGGAACCTTCCTCGCTCCTTCTGCGATACGGAGCGAAAAGGGAACCCCGCAAGTTTATCGGGAAAGCGGTTTATGCGGCGCGCGAATTATTCCCCGGTCTGCCCGCGAGAGCAAGGGAGAGCAAGAGAGTGGATTTTTTAAAGGACCCCATGGTCTTCGTTGAACTCCTTATTCCATCGAAATTCGATCGATGCCACTTTTCCCTCCCTCTATTAATCGCCGATGCAGATCGTACGGGGAACGAAGCTAATTTTTTCACGTCAAGACTAAGGCGCGGCATGCTTCATCCACGCGCTTTGGATCGCGAGATTTATTCACGGATACCGCTTCCCGAGAGCATCGATTGCGCCCGGCAATATTGGTATCAATGACGGTAAATTATTGAGCGAGTCAATCTGCTCGAAAGCGCACCCACACCTGCGGGGGAACTTTCATCCTGTATGCAGACGAAAATCCGCATCGCGTTTCGTAGGTTCGGAAGTCCGTATCTTCCTGTCCGGTGAGCGTATAAATCAGAACGCCCATCTAGCTGGTCGCGATTCATAAATTAACGATCCGTACGGACACCTGGTTCGCCAGAGAGGTGGTGAAAATTCAGGCACTTTCCTAGTTTCGGTATTGCGGGGTAAATTGCGATTGATCTGGATTATCTTTCGCTTCGCTCTACGAGGCAAGGTTCGATCGGTCATTCAATCATTTCCTTAAAGATCGGTCATTAAATAATTTCCTTAAAGATCGGTCATTAAATCATTTCCTTAAAGATCGGTCATTGAATCATTTCCTTAACGATCTACCCAAGGAGATATTTTCTGAGCACTCTCGAGTAGTTACGACACGTTCGGTTTCCTCGAGCTGGTCTCCATCCATGCAGCATCCTATCGAACGTAAGCTCGGTCCATTTACTCCCAGGTTTACGGGACCACCGTTTCGGCTAGCGATTTAAACGAAATGGGTTTGTCCAGCCAACTAAGTCGCCACCCTTGTCCACCACCCTTACGTGCCAGAGAAGGGAAAATGCCACCCTTCGAGCGAGAAACGCTTCCCCTAATTTTTGTATCTTTTATCGCGATTCTTCCTCTTATCTGATAACTTTCTCCAGGTAGCAGTAACTCCATCCTATGATTATTTGGGGAAACCCGTGGCCCGGAAATCGATACACCGACGAGGTTAAAGCCACGGATTCCTGTTTTACCCTTGCCAGGAAATGTAGAGATCCTCCTGTGGAAACTAAGAAGGGATTCTATGATTTTGGAGCCATTTTGGGAGTTACCCGAAAGGATGCCCTCGTTTACCACCCAGTGGTTGGTATAGTAGAGGGTGGAAGACTCTTTTAAAACGTACTCACTGGTTCAAAGAATATATTATCGACAGTGGGAACGTGAAATGATGTTTCTAAAAAATATTCAGATCTTCCCCCGCAAGTTCTGTTTAGTTAAAGTTGGTCGTTCAGCGGAGGTCGATAAGGTTGGAGCGCTTCTGTAGGAACTTCGGTTACCTATAGATTCCTGTTCAAATGTACCATTGCTGGTTGTCAGAATCTATGATAAATCTATTTCGACAATGATTATAGCAGTCGAAATTTCTATTTTGAATGTGAAATCCATTGATATTTTCCAGGGTTGAAAATTATTCAGAAAATTCTAGCTCAGCCGTTTCGAGTATTTGGCAGCCGGGCATTGTTGCATATATTATGGAAATGTTCCTTTGGTAATTTTAGGATCGCCTGGGAATTTACTCGCTATCTCTATCGAATGTTCGCGGGCCGAAAGCTATATCGCTTTATTAACATTACATGTATTGTAACACGAATTCGAATCACGCCGGTCTTGTACGTAACGCCTTACGAAGCCGCACGCGCTGCTTTGGTTATAAAGAGGATCGTCGGCCTTTCACTCCACCGAATTCAAATAAACTTCCGAACGTATCTCGAACAACTCGCATTAATGATTCAAAGTCAAGAGAAAAGCGCAAAGTACTTGTACACGTACTGAGATTAACAATAGCATCCAAACAAGAATCCCCAGAAATACTATAGTGATCCTTTCTCCGCGATCCCCGTGAATTAATTTTTAAATATTAAATTCCGACGATACTTGTATCAATAGAAATTGAAAAAAAAATAAATAAAAGAATACATCCGAACTCGAGAACCCAAAATCGGGTTAGTAAACGACATTGCGCAATAAAAAGTGAAATACAAAAGGTCGGTAGAACGAAATCCGTCCATCGATACTTGGTATGCAAGAAGTCGAGGGGGCCATTTTCGTCCAAGTGGGACCGCGTATAAAAGTCTGCATAACAATTACGAACTTCAGTCATATGTAGACTTTCGGAAGTACAAGGAAATACGGCTCTCGCGATGAAGGTAATAAACTAGTCCTTTAATGCGTCCATAAGCTTTATGGAAGGCTATATAAAGTTACAGAGGCGATAACATTTTTTATACAATATCCACTCCTGTCCATAATGAAATAAGTCGGTAATCCAGATGAGCACCGAAGATTCGCCCTGGGGATCTAACCTCTTCTTTTCTCTCGATTTTAGACCATCCTCTGCGTCGTTCTTATCGGAATCGCTACAGCCGACGTGGCACCATATAGACCGAGAGGATGGCGACCGGAAGGACGATCTCTCTCTCATGGGAGACTTCGATCCCAACTGTATGGTCCACCATCGGGCTTCCAAAAATATGGACCACCGGACGTCTCGAATCATCTTCCCGAATCGACGACGACCACTAGATCTCCGCCAACCACGACATCGACGACGACCACTACCACTCCTAAAAGTAGAGAACCCACTACCGAGCCAGACATCCCTCAGGAGGAATTCGAAGTCAATCCTGCGCTGGCCATTGCGAATTCGTTCGCTTTCAACAGACCCGTGTACGTCTACAACACCTTCCCGTTTCATCCGGCGTATGCCATTGTCAAGTGAGGACAATCGCTACGGCAGGACTTTTTACGGCCTCCGCCGATTCCGCACTCTAGTTCGTCACGGATAGATCCACGAATGTGCACGAACATCCAATTGCAGAAGAATACACACAGCACTTCATTCAAAGTTCTGTTAAATACGTTCGTTACACCACGGTAATAATACTTTAACATTGGGATCTGAGTTTTTTACTACTTTATTTTTATATTCGCGTAAATGATAAACGTAGAGACGGCTCGAGTAAAATACACTCGTTTTTCAGGATTATAGTACAGCTAACTCCTCGGTTTTAAAATGGAAATTCTCTTCACCACTTTTGACTTATTCAGCCTGATTTTTCAGAATTACTCGAGGGAAGGAATTAAAAAATTGTTAATTTATGATGGAGTACCGACGATCACGTAACCACACGTTCTCGTAACGCAATGAGAGCCTTTATGTTAACGAATGCGTTATTAATGTTTCGATCGTTACGTCTACAAACGAGGAAAAAAAATCTAAAAGCCTAAATTTAAAGTGGGAATTTTCAGTTTTCAGTACTTTTGCTTTCGCGTGATTTACCCAGCCTGATTTTTCACGAGATGTACTTGAGCGAAAGAATTTAAAAAATTGTTAGTTTAATGATGCAGAAAACGCATCGCTGATTAAATGCCGGCGTAACCACACGTTGTGATAACGCAATGGGAGCCTTTATGTTAACGCGTCCGTTATTCATTTTTCGATCGTTACGTCCACAAACGAGCCAGTGCCGCAGCTATTCCGCATCCGTAACCGCTGGAACACGGTTTTCAATTATATTCCTGTTCCAGGGTAATTATGAAAATGACATCTCCCCCCACCTCCGCGCCCTTGTCAGTTTTTCTCGCACATAGAAGCTCCTAATTCAATGTGCGCCGGTTTAAATGTACCGAAGGAAAATAGCATCAAGTGAAATATACAGTGTACCAGAGTAAATATTACGAAAACTGGAAACTCTCAATGGGATTGGGACGTTCGAAAGCGTTTTTTAAGGAATTGGCAATGGAAGCAATTTGTATTCAGTACACTCTGGCGTCCCGTGTTGCGTATTCGGAATATTCTACGTCGAAACTAGTGACTAGATCCAAATTACCAAATACGTCACGTTCATATACACGTAGAACTTGTACATGTACCCGATTCTAATCCGACATGACGTGAGCCGTCGCGACGGGTGCAATATTCCTTACTGCTAACGACTAACCACGACGGGTCAATTTCCTTACCATTCAACGCTCTTCGAAAGATTCCTAGAACGTCACCAAATTAAACGTCACTAAGGTAAGTGAACCAATATCGAACACCTAAAACTCCGTTCAGATTCCGATGAAGATTTAGCATACAATTCGGTTAGCACCTCTACAAAAAACAGACCTGCAAAGCAATGTATCCCGTAAATTAATAAAATAATCAACTTTTCTAATACATATTGCATATGCTACGACGTCTATTAAACATGTGTTATCAACAAAGAGGATTTACCGAGCTGTTTTTCAGGTAATATTTTATGTAATGTTATCCGAGGGATGATGGCGGTCGCGGTCGGGTGATACTAACACTCGGTCGTTCAAAAAAAGGAAGAGAATAAACAGAGTAACAAAATCAATGCAAACTAAGAAAAATACTGATTATTGGTATGACTATGAATAGGGCCTTCATTGTATTCGGCGGGGTCTGGTTTTTTTCTCCGGGCAATGGGCATTGCTGCTCCCTAGGTGCAGGCAATGCACATTTATCCTGAAGAGCCACATCCCAGCGTATAACATTACGATCGACAATCAACGGCAATTATTTAATTTCATTTAATTAGAACTGCGTAGAACAGCGATCCCAATACGGAATCATGCAATGTTTGGTTACTAGGACTACTCCACTACGCACGTCCGGAGGTATTCGAACAGCGTTCCGATATAGGCATATCGTATGTTCTGTCTGTCCCGATAACAGAACGCGAACATCATAGCGCTAAATCTAGTTTTGCACGAAAATAAACGGCTGCATCGGATACTGTATTTCTCCCTGAACAAGATAAGCCGTAACTTTTTCCAAAAAGACGTAAAAGCTAAACGGTAAGTACTGAAAAGCTTTCCTCCTTCCTTAGTATCTTGCATAAGGAATACTTTGAAACAATCCCCGTAATGTGCAGACCTACATAAACACCTAAGATTAGATTGTAATCCACGCAGAATGGTAATCGAGAATTTCCCTATACTTCAATTAAATATCGACGGTCCTCTTTCAATTTTTACGATTGCAGTTACATTCATGAAATGCTTAATAAAGGGAATTATTTGAAGGGATGTTCGGCGACTGAGAGGTGGTTGGCCTCTGGTACATTTACCTTAAGTGCGCCTAACTTGTACCGAAATATTATTCCCCCATGTATAAGGAATAATTAGCTCCGTGTAAATTTTCATTCGAAACAGACGTCTACAGGGCGCTCACAGTTGCGAGCTCTCGCTTATTGACCGGATTGTCACTGGAATTGCGACGGCTGTAATAACGGGCATAAAACGAGACGGGATAACGAGGAACATAATATTTTCGCGAACACGGCTGTTTGATAAAAAGAAAACATGGGCCAGGAGCGTCACTAAATCCTCGGTTATTACACTTTCATCGACCGTACCTCCGTAAAACGGTGAAAGTCTTCATGGTGGGTGTAAAGAAATATCAAGAGCCCATTGCGCGTTCAGCAGTATGTCGAGTAACGATTTCATAGGAACGGAGAGTAATGGCAGAAATTAATAACGAGGAAAAAAAGCGAAGGGAATTTCCTTGGGATCGGACCTTGGGCCCGTTTTCTTGAAAACTCTGGAATTCTTGGCGGAGCCGAGAACCGCACGATCGAGTTTCACATTTTCGGTGGCACGTTTCTTCTTCCTCCGTTTCCACTCCGGAGAGATTATGCGGATTGGAACTGCGCCAAGCGGCAAATGCCCAGGGGAAAAGACCACCGAGATCGTAAAGTCCTATCAAATCTGGCCAACGCTGGAAACTGGAAAAAGCTGGAGAGATCAAAAGGCATCCCTAACAAGAATTCGATCACCGGGGAATCTTTAATATCTTGTAGCAAAGCGACGAAAGTCTTGCAGGGAAAGGAAGAGTCGTCCTAGACAGGAAAGCCACACACAAAATATTCAATTATTTCGATAAATCTGTAGAATCCAATCTCTCCAGATTTAATCGACATGTGGCTGACGTCTCCATGGAAAACTCCGAAGTTAACTGGCCCGATTACAAATCGCTACGACTTATCGTCACATGTGAGGCCGACATAACTCAGGGGGGTCGATCAAGAGGGTGATTCGGGTTTTATTCCATGATTTTACCTCGACCAAGGGAAAACCGACATTTCGGGCCCGTCAACCTTCACTTTTACGTGCATCGACTATTCACGGTCCCGAGAGCCTGAACCTGACCCGGTGAGGTGACAAAATGGTTAATCGATCGTTTTTCATAAACGCAATTAGAGCAGCCCGAGAACGGCCGAAGATCGACGTTCCACGCAACGGCGTACTTCGATTACACGGTAAATTATGGGAAATTCTGTATGCTCCGGGTCCCAGTCACTCGGGACGATAACTCATCGAAATCGGATCCATTTACGAGAACGCCAGGATCGCGGGGACTACCAGGAGTCATAACTCATGAATTTCAATTCGCGAGAAACCCTTCTTGAGGCGCTACGTAGCCTTTCGTCGCCTCGGTAATAAATGCGTCCTTGTACCCTTGCTTGAATAAACTCATGCACGATCTTCTACGTCACCTTACGTCATATTTGGGCGGCCAACTAACGAGCTACAAATAATAAACGTGCATACCGTGCGTCATTCCTCGATATGTATCCAGAAATGCATCGACGATCCCATACAGGGGAAGAAGATATCCTCGCGCCACTTTGTCGCACCGAGACATTTATTTCGTCGAAAATGATTTTTTACCCAGCCTCTTCCGGTCCAGTTCTCGACCAGACTAGCTCTTACGTGGCTGCAATAAATCGCAAAGACGTCCCGTTCCAAGTGGACGTAATTTATTTGAGCTAACTAGCTCTTTCCCCTTGCGGTCCCACGTGCCACGTACGGGCTCTGTCCCTTTATTTCCCTCCTCGTTTCCTCCCCGACTTCCTTCCCCCGATTTCCTCCGGTATTCTTTCGGTTCAACCCTTTGATTGTCGGACCCTCTCCACTTTGTTGATTCCTTCTGCTCGAGTAACGATCTCACGACGGCTCTCGCCGTCGCCCTCTCGCTTTTTCCGGTGCAAATTAATTAAACGTGCCATTGTTCTTCCGGGAGCGTCTCTTTGCACCGCGGACGAAGTCAAAGAGCACGTACCTCGGGTAAAGCAAATATCTCGATTATCGCGTTCGGTCGACTCGCATCCGCGAGTTCTTCTCACGCGAGTGGACGAGAGGGAAAATTCGAACTCGTGGGTCGCTCTACCACGAGTCGATTGTCGATTTATCTCCCTGAAATTACTACAGCCCTCGGTACGCTACAACTACCAGGCTAGTTGAAGCGTACCGAGTAACGATTTAACGTCATCGGTTGTCTTACACGCCGGGGAAGATCGAGCGGCGTGCAGAGTTCGCACACGAGGATTACGAAAATCCCCGAGTACGTTCGACCCCTCGAGCTCGTAATTTGATATCATTCCCACGGAGGGAATTTTCGCGAAATCGTGCCGAGAGATTATGGGAGAGTCCAGAGGACCGGCGAGAAATCCTGAGAAATTTCTTTAACCGCAGGCGTGCGTTTACTCGCGCGCTCATGGAACGAAATCCACCCCCGTTCGCCTCGTGTCTGGAAACGCGAGCTAGTTTAAGCGTCGAGATTATTTGCACGGGGAAGATCGGCTGGTGGGTCTGCATCCGACAGCTAATACGATAGAAAATGGCGGGGGACTCCTCCGCAAAGTGACTGCTACCTCGAAGGCCGTCCCTCGGATGCAGGGCCACTTTAACCTGTCAGAGATCGATACC